TGAAATGATAATAATTTAGATATACTGAGTAAAATAAAGCATTATTAACATTGAATTAATCATTAATCATTTTGCCTAATAAGTGTATGTGCCATTCCATTATCACTGTCACTGATAAAATGCCAAATTCAAAACCCTAACATCACTCAATGGGGTATTCACTGGCATGTGTTTTGAATATTTAATCTTTAAAATGTTCTTGTGTCTTTCTTTGTCTAATTCTAGTTGGCAGACTAATAATTCCCGTTGGTAGAACTCTGCAGACTTCAGGTACTGGTAAAATCCCAAAGCACATTCTCTGTTGCATTAATTGTATTACAAATGCATAGAGATTTCAGAATCTATAATATTCCAACATGAGAACATATATTTAAGGACAAATTCTGAAATAATTAGCTAATCTCTCTTTTATCAGACAAAAGAATAGCCACTTGTTTGAGAGTAGCATTTGGCTCCCAGCAAGGTAAAATTTTTCATTGTTCTTTACATTTAAATTAAATATAGAAAAATGAAAAAAAAAGAAGAAAAATTATACTATTTGTCATGGTTATCTGCTGCCTTGAAATTTATGAGAACAGAATTATGCTGCAGAAACAGAGTAAGGGTGAGTTCTAAATTCAGGTGTTCAGCACTTTTCTCAAATAAACCTGTTTCTCAAATAAACCTCCTACTATGTCTAATACTTAGCACTATTTTAAGGTGCTAAAATTTTTAATTCTAGTATTATTTAAAAAATAAAAATACCAATTGATTATGGAGATTCACCACCTGGATTTCAATTTGTATATAATACAAATGACTGATTTCATCTTTATCCTAAACCAAAGGTAAAAGGAAGGAAGAGATAGGAATCACAATCAGTCAAAAAGGGTAGGCTGAGTCTCAGAGACAAACTTCACTGACTTTACAAGTTTGGAAACCTCTGGTTCCACACTCAGTTACATGTGTTTCTGCATATGCATATGGTTCTTATATCCAGCAATATAAGGCTCAGAGTTAGCAATCCTAAAACAAGAAAGACATGATTCTCAAACACGTCTGAATTAGATAAGGAAAACTTTAGTTAGACTCTTCCTGGAACCTCCACAGTTTCTTACTCTGAAATCCACTTAGATTCAAGCAGTTATCACCTCCCTTGGAATTAATTCCAGGGCAGTGACAAAAGATCTACTGACATAGTATCCATTTGTCATTTTTTGCTAGAATGTATTTATCACTGAAGGCTTCCTCTCTTAATTTACACAGATGTGGATTAGCTCCTAACCACCTAATTTGATCACCATATTCCCTCTACTCTGTGAAGTCAAAACAGTGAATGTATTATTTCTCTTCAATAGATGCAAAATACAGATATTAAAAGATTAAATGACTTGCCTAAGGTCAATAATTACATTAAATAACTTGCCTAAGTTTCCTCAAATTGCAGATATGGTAACTCAGAAAGTAAAATAATTCTCAAACCAGAGATCTATTTTAGAACACCAAAATAACTTGCCTCATTTTTATCAAGATGAGTTAAAAATAGACAAAACATGTGACAAAATCTGAAGTAATTAACGAGTGATTCAGACAGTAAATTTCAAAAAAGATAATATTCAGGAAGTAAGGCTTAGCACTGGGGAACAAGGAAAGCCCTTCAGGTCTGTAGAAAAAGTCATGGAATGGAATATATAGGAAGCACTTAACTACTGTGCTCACCCTACCTTCGAACAGGTTAAGCAATCCATTATTTCAGAATCAGTAAAGGGTAGTCATTGAACATATTTAAGGAGAATATGTCTAAAGAACAAGGTGAAACATACTTAAGACTGAAAGAATGTAGGCAAATGAGAGAAAGAAGAAAGAGAATGATAAGGAAGAGAGCAAAGAGGAAGGAAAAGTGAGGGATTAGGAAGATAAACTGCAAGAAAAAAATTAAAAAGCAAGTAACGGGAAACGGGAGCCAAAAGTGAATGTAAAGAAATAATTGTTGTAAATGAGTGTATGAAGACAGAATTAGCAGGAAGAGAATGGGGAAGAATGGGAAACAAGAAAGAAGCAAGAGAAAGTGAATGAGGAAAGATAAGGGACTGAGCTTCTAGGATGGTGATCAGGTCCCCAGACACTTGGCTTCAGGAGCTGGTCTGAGAGCAGTCTGGAACTGAGATATGAATAGTGTTGCCTGAAGATGCTTGCTGCTCTGTAGTCTGGAAGGGGTTGTGAGGGACAGTATGGGGACCCTCTCCACTTATGCATCTTCAGTGCCAAAGGACTGTGCCATATATGTGTGTGTGTATGTGTGTGTATATGTGTGTATGTGTGTGTATATGTGTGTGTGTGTGTGTGTGTGTGTGTATATAAAATAAAGAAGGTTAGAGATGGTGACCATTTAGGTTTCTATCTTGGCCTACACTGACAATGTCTCTTTGTCTTATCTGACTAGAACAAGAAGTTTGCCCATGTGAGATCCATTGTTTGGTGCTTTTTTTTTCAGGAACTCATTTTGTACAGAGGAATACCCATCTAATGCATATATGTCCTCCATCTCTGTGATGAATACAATTTGAGAACCAACAGAACAAAAGGTACATAAATGAGAACAGAGGAAAGAAGAAAAGTGGATTAAAAATGTTAAGTAGCATGGAATTTCATCTGTTAGTTAACAGAGAATAGAGGGAAATAGTAGAAAACAGAAGCAGAGGAAGAGTGGGAGAAGCTGAAACTCTCAGCTGCTCCCTGTGTCTTGGAATCCTCAACCTGGAGAAGCATGAGATAACTAACTATAAATGAACACCTGGAATCCACAAAAGGTAGGACTAGGGGAGGGATCTTCTGACTTAAGTTCTTAAGACCAGGTTTCTGTAGGCAGAGCGAGGTATAAATGTGGAAGCCAAGTGGTGCCTAAGTGGGTAAAAAAGAAAAGGAAATGCCTAAACTAATTTGAAGAACACCAAAATACTTTTTGCCTATTTCGGTTTTCTTAGATTCACTATGTGTGTATTTATACAAGAGTGAATAAATACTTGGAATGCACAAATATGTGCCCGTGCATTTGCTGCTAGTTACGAATGTTACCAGTCACATAAAACAAATGTTCTGATGTTTCCTAATAGTCGTGCTGTAAAATGCTAATATGTCACCTACGTTTCCCATGAATTTTCTTATGGATTTTTAAGGCTGATTTTTCTTTATTCTTTTCCTCCCTTCTCTCTAGTTCCTCTTTTTAGGGATGCCACTAGTAATTTCTGTCAAATTTCAATTAGGAATTTATCTCCTTCAGTCCTCCTTCCCCACATTCGCTAGCACTGCTTCAAAAAATAAGTTATACTGAGATATAATCAGCGCATTATAAAATTCACCATTTAAAGTATACAAATTCAATGGTTTTAAATATGTTTACAGAGTTTGTGCAAGCATCAACATGTTGTAGCACGTATCAGTACTCCCTTTTTATTGTCACACTGCATGATATTGTGTCCACAGCACTTTTGAAAATAAATATTGTATGTAATCAAAAGTCATGTGTAACATTTGTATATATCACATTATAGCATTTTGTTATAATGAGAAATATTTCATCTTTGAAATCATTCATTCCAATAGTGAAACATGCATGGTATCATCGTATGTGAGTATTTATTTATAAATTGTTTTATAATAATTTCAACATAATAATTAAAATACAATCACAAATACATTTTTTAAAACATAGCTTATAATAATATACAGAGAAGTTCCATTATTTGTATGCACCCCAGTGGATTATCTTGTGCACCTCCTTGTGTGAACACATCTAATTTCGGAGATTAGTATACAGACTAAACTTTAATTCTGGATTTCTCCCAACATGAATAGAATATTTATTTAGACAAAGTTATGGCCAGAAAAGGGGGAATATTTAGACATGCAGCATCATATTTACTTAAGTGCCTAAATAAAATATTGTCAATTGATGAGACACTAAATAATTCCCTAAAAAGTATGAACTGAGGAATAAATACCTGCTTTCTTCTATCACTTGATAATGAGAGAAAAGAAAGCTCATTGGAAGTTTAAAACTTGTCTGCAATTGCATTTTTTATCTCTCAAATGAGTACATCAGATTATATGTTCTGTATGGCCAATTCCAGCTCTACTATATTTTATTTTTATTAGCTGAGATAGTCAACATCTTTTACATATTCTGATAAATTTTGTATTATGCAAAAATGTTTGTGAAAAGAATATCATTTGGCTCTCACTCTGAGATCTGAAGAATAAGTAGGTTATGGATCTATAGAGAGCAGATGAAACTGAATTAGTATTAACTAGAACTTAACAACAAGTTGTAGAGCAGATTCAGAGTGGTACTCAGCTAAGGCTGTAATGAGGGAATTCCTCCAAGTTAAGAGAAATATACAGATCTTGCCTGCTATCCTGGTGACCAGTTTGAAGTAAGAATGCACAAGAGCACCAAAGCAGAACAATGTGATGGGAATAAGCAAGGAACAAATTTAGAAACCAGTCATATAGGTAACAACCAGGAACCAAGAATTCCATAGGAACTGAGAGACAGAAGCAACTGTGAAAGCACTTTATTCTGTGACAGGAAGTAAAGGAACTAAAACCTAGCAAGTAATCTAACATTTAGAGACAGTGGACCACCACTAACAGCAACAAAAACAAACAAAATAGACAAACTTGATTAAGCTTAAGTTTTGCTTTAATAAGACAACTTCTAATATCCTTCAAGCAAAGTAACCTGGAATCCTACAGGAGTGAAGTTATCTAGAAGCATGAGGTTAAATGGGCATGCAAATGTGGCTACAGAAAAATATATTTCATTTTAGTGAGGAAAAAAGAGGATGAAGGATAGAAGGGTTAACTCAGGATACAAGACAGTTATGAGGTGTAAGTTGTCTTCAACTACGGAACGTTGGTTGGGACAAATAATGTTCTTATCTGGAGAGGAGATACAAAACAGATGAAAAGGTAGTTATAACACATAACGATTTGCCCTATTTTATTCTGCAGAGTGAGAAATGACGGAAACAGAGAACCTCACAGTGGTGACAGAATTCATTCTTCTTGGTCTGACCCAGTCTCAAGATGCTCAACTTCTGGTCTTTGTGCTAGTCTTAATTTTCTACCTCATCATCCTCCCTGGAAATTTCCTCATCATTTTCACCATTAAGTCAGATCCTGGGCTCACAGCCCCCCTCTATTTCTTTCTGGGCAACTTGGCCTTCCTAGATGCATCCTACTCCTTCATTGTGGTTCCCAGAATGCTGGTGGACTTCCTCTCTGAGAAGAACGTAATCTCATACAGAAGCTGCATCACTCAGCTCTTTTTCTTGCATTTTCTTGGAGCTGGGGAGATGTTCCTTCTCGTCGTGATGGCCTTTGACCGCTACATCGCCATCTGCCGGCCTTTACGCTATTCAACCATCATGAACCCTAGAACCCGCTATGCATTATTGTTGGCTCTGTGGCTTGGGGGCTTTACCCATTCCATTGTACAAGTAGCCCTTATCCTGCACTTGCCTTTCTGTGGCCCAAACCAGCTAGATAACTTCTTCTGTGATGTTCCACAAGTCATCAAGCTGGCCTGCCCCGATACCTTTATAGTGGAGCTTCTGATGGTCTCCAACAGTGGCCTGCTCAGCCTCCTGTGCTTCCTGGGCCTTCTGGCCTCCTATGCAGTCATCCTTTGTCATATAGGGAAGTACTCCTCTGAAGGAAAGAACAAGGCTATCTCCACATGCACCACCCATATTATCATTGTATTTCTCATGTTTGGACCTGCTATTTTCATCTACACTCGTCCCTTCCAGGCTTTCCCAGCTGACAAGATAGTTTCTCTTTTCCATACTGTCATCTTTCCTTTAATGAACCCTGTTATTTATACGCTTCGCAACCAGGAAGTGAAAGCTTCCATGAGGAAGTTGTTAAGTCAACATATGGTTTTCTGAATAGAAGAATGAGAAAAACAAGAAAGGAGAAAGTCCAGTTGAATTTAGCTAAATCATTCTCTTATTCATGCATTGAATCTGTCAGTCATTTAGCAAATATTATAATTATTAAGCACTTCTCATTTTCAGGTACTATTCTAGGCATATGAATAAGACAGGTAATATTCCAGGTTTCCTAGATTTACATTCAAGTGGATAAATACAGGTTAAACTATTAAATTTTAAAAACAACTATAGTATCAGAAAGAAATAGTGTTCTGTAGCAAGCAAAAAGTGGTATTATGCTAGAGGTTATTTGGGGAGGTGGTAATTTTCTTACTTTTATTTGTTAAGTGAGGTCTTGTGTGGTGTTCAGCTGATACCAAGATGATCTGAAAGAAGCAACCACGCAATTATCTGGGGACAGAAATTCTAGGCAGAAAAGATGACTAGTATAAGGATCCAAAGATCTTATGAGCTTCTTATATTTGATGACCATAAAAAGGAAGAGAGTAGCTGTACAGTAGTTAGCAAATGTGAAAATGGCAAGAATTGAAGTTGAAGATTTTGGTAGGGGCAAAATTCTGTCAAACATTTTAGTCGATAAGAAGTTCAATTTATTCAGATTTCAAAAGGAGATCGTTGAAAGATAATAAACAGGAGAGTAACTCTCTAATGTTTCCTATTTGACTTAAGGGAAGATCCTCAAGATTCTGATTATGGAACTGTAAGTAGTAAAATATCATTAAGTGGAAAATACATGCTACTAAGTATTTTTTACTTATGTCAACACTTAAAAGATCTAGTTATTTTTTCTAATTTGATGGAGAAAATAAAAGCTGTTATATCTTATCAGAAACTGTGAAAAGACAACGTAACTATGTATTTCAAAGTTTTGTAGAGTTTTATGGTTATTCCTAATGGGTATTTCTTTTACTATTAGAGAAAAACTTGAGTTCACTTACAAATTATTTCATCCTAAACACAATGATAATAGTTATATGTAATACAAGTTATTATTTGGTTACAGATAACTAAACCACTCTGATTATTTGAATAGGCATACATAAGGCATTAGATACTTTCAAATCATTGAAGAACTATAAGAACAGGCTGTAGACTTGGCTTACCAGAATAAATTTCTAAACATTACCAATAAATTGGTCTATATAAGGAATAACTGTCCCCACAGCAATTATGAATGTAGGGAATACATAAATCATTTTTTGACTGACAGTTCAAGGATTACAGCATTTGAACCATTAGCCTGTGATCAGGAAAATACTCAGCATTGCTCTAGTCCTACTAGACATCCCTACACAAAATGGAAACCTTACATTTTGTAATCTTTCCACTTCCTTCATTTTTAAAAATTTCTTCTTAAACTATTATTATTATTATTATTATTAATACCTATATAACTCAGTGGTCTCTCATTCAAATATTAACCAGATCCAATATTGCTTAGCTTCTGAGATCAGGCATGATCATGCACATTCACTTCCTTCATTTCTAAATTTAAATATTGCATAAATGAATTAGAGTCCTGAGACTATATCAGAGATTAATTTTAAACCTGGCAGTCAATGAATGAGCCAGAGATTGACTGAGTCTTATGAAACCTGAAAATCAACTTCAACTCCACAAAACCTTTATTTAAATTAAGGCGGGGCTTCTTAACTTTGGCACAATTGGCATTTTGGACAAAATAATTATTTGTTGTAGAAGGCTGCCCTGTGCATTGTAGGTTGTTTAGTAGCATTCCTGACCTCTACTTACTAGGTGCCAGGAGCATTTTCTTAGTTGTAACAACCAAAGATTTCTATATATTGCCAAATGTCCCCCAAAAGGTAAATATTTTACAATGAGAAATACAGCATTAAGGAGATTTATTTCCATTATATCCATCTTGTGGTGAGATGTGTGAACCTTCTTTGCAGGAAATAACATGAACTGGAGCCTATGCAACTTACAATTTGTAATAAACAATATCCATAATTTAATAAAAATCATAAGAAACACCAGAAGAGTGAAAAATAATTTTCAAAACAAAAAACAAAAAGATAAATAACTGGAATATAATCAGAGTCTATCCAGAGTATGAAACTGAATAACAGTTACACTATAATAACCATGACTAGTATGTTCAAGATGGTAGAAGAAAATGTGTAATAAATAGATAAAAGGATAGCAAATTTCACCAGATAATTAGAATGCATAAAGAGAAGTAAATGAAAATTGTAGAATTAAAAAATTTTGATATTAAAAATTCATTAGATGAGTTTAAAATCAGATCAAACACAGGAGAAGACTACAGAGTGTGCTGGAAGTGAAATCAATAAAAATACTAAAATTAAGAATGCAAACAGGAAAAATGGAAAAATACAAGAAAGAATATTAGAGATACGTGAGATGCAGTGAAATCTCATATATATATATATTTCAATTACATATATATGTCATTATAGATATAATTGAAGTCCAAGTGGATAGGCAAACGAGAGCATGAGAAAGATGAAATATTTGAAGAAAGAATTAGCAAGAACTTTTAAAACCTGATAAAAGACAAGTCACAGAAAAAGAAATATACTGTGAAACACAAACAGAATAAACAGCAACAAAAAAGACCTAAACACATCAATACATGACAAAAAAAATTAAAAATAGAGAATCTTAGAAGCAGCTGGGATGAGAGACTGTCCTTTAGAGGGAACTGATAAATTTCTTCATAAAAGAAACATGGAAGCCAGAGGAAAATGAAAAACATCTTTAAAATGCCCAAAGAAGATAATATCAACCTAAAAATCTCTATGATATAAAGTAAATCATTTAAATAAAGATGAGATAAAGACATCTTATGACAAACAAAAATGAGAAAATCTGTTGCTTAAGAACTTCTAATAAATAAATATTAATCGCAGTTCTTCAAATAAAAGAAAAGACTCCTGGAGAAAAACACTAAGTTAAAGGAAAAAATAAAGAAGTAGACTGGCAAATAAGTTGGCATATGTAAATAAGTATACACTCAATATTGACTATATAAGCAATAGTATGATGTCTTATGGAATTTGCTATAGATACATAAATATACATATGTAAACATTTATATATATATGCCTGACAACAGTTGTAAAAAATGAAAAAAAAGATATAAAAGTGTTCTGTGATTCTAACGTAAGAAGAGATTTAATAAAGCTAATAAAGTGATTAGACTTTAATAAGTCAAGGATTCATGTTGCAACCTTTAAGAAAGTTACCTGTACAAAGAGTACAATAATTTATAACTGACAGTTACATAAGGATTTTTTTGGAAAAAATAAAGATTATTGTAAAAGAATGCAAGAACAAAGAGAAAATAGAGTACATAAAATGAAAAAATAAGATTGTAGCTAGAATGACTGATGTATCACTCTCTACATTAAAAATAAATAGATTCAAAACTTCATCGAGAACTGGGATTTCTAGATTTTTATTTTTTACTTTTGTGGGTACATAGTAGATGTATATACTTATGGAGTACATGAGATGTTTTGATTACAGGCATGCAATGTGAAATAAGCACATCATGGAGAATGGGTTATCCTTCCCCTCAAGCATTTATCATTTGAGTTACAAACAATCCAATTATACTCTTTGAGTTATTTAAAAATGTACAATTATTATTAACCATAGTCACCCTATTGTGCTATCAAATAGTAGGTTTCATTTATTCTTTCTATTTTTGCACACATTAACCATCCCTACATTCCCCCTAACCCTAACCTCACTACCTTTCCAAGCCTCTAATAAGAATCTTTCTATTCTGTATCTTCATGAATTAATTGTTTTAATTTTTAGCTCTCACAAATGACTGAGAATATTAGAAGTTTGTCTTTCTGTACCTGGCTTATTTCAGTTAACATAATGACCTCCAAATTCATTTTTGTTTTGGCAAATGATAGGATCTCATTCTCTTTTATGGCTGAATGGCACTCCATTGTGTATAGGTACCATATTTTCTTTATCCATTTGTCTGTTGATAGACACTTAGGTCGCTTCCAAATATTGGCAACTGTGAATAGTGCTGCAACAAACATGGGAGTGGAGATATCTTTTGATATACTGATTTTTTTTTCTTTAGGGTGTATGCCTAGGAGTGTGATTGCTGAATTGTAAGGTAACTCTATTTGTAGTTCTTTGAGGAAACTTCAAACTGTTCTCCATAGTGGTTGTATTACTATGGAAATTTCTTAAATAACTAAAAATAGAACTAACATAAGATCCAGCAATCCCACTACAGGATGTCTACCCAAAGGAAAAGAAATAATTATACCCAAAAGATACCTATACTCTTATGTTTATCACAGCACTATTCACAAAAGCAAAGATATGAAATCAACCTAAGTGTCCCTCAACAGATGATTGGATAAAAAAAATTGTGGTATAAATACACAGTAAAATACTCTTCAGCCATAAAAAAGAATAAAATCATGTCTTTTGCAGCAATATGGATGGAATTGGAGGCCATTATTTTAAGTGAAACACACAGAAATAGAAATTTGAATACCACATGTTCTCACTTAACTGTGGGAGCTAAATAATGTGTACACATGGACATAGAGTGTGAAATGATACACAATACGCACTTGAAAGAATTGATGGCATGAGGCAGGTGGATGATGAGAAATTACTTAATGGGTACAATGTACATTATTTGGGTGATAGATACACTAAAATCCCAGACTTCACCAGTACACAATTATTCATGAGCTAAAATTCCTCTTGCACCCCTTAGATTTATACATATTAAAAAGAAAATGAACATGATTATCAAATGAGCCAAAGATATGAACAGAAACCCTACTAAATAATATGCATAGATGGAAAATAGTCATACCAAAAGTTGTTCTCAACATCATATCATTATCAAACTGTATATTGTATAATAAACAATAGTAAGATTCCTCTACAAAACTATTAGAATTACTAAATCCAAAATGCTGACAGATTGGCAGTTTTCTACAAAACTTTTACTCTTACCA